TCGATAAACACCATGACTGCAGCTGCAGGTTGAGTTCCGGCCTAAAAAGTGCAATTTCCGTCAGAAATAGATAACTGGATAAGGAGCACAAGAGTGAAATAACCGTACCTTTGGCGTGAACACATTCAAGTAAAGGCAATCTTCATTTACATAATCTCCAGCATATAACTGTGGACATTTTGGCCTGTAGTAAGTTGCATCATAGATTTGATTATATGGCATCGGATCGACTGCTCTCTGTAATCATTATCGATTGTTTTTATAATCTTGATGCTAAAAGCTGCTATGAACCTACCTTAAATCGAAGATTACCAATGGGAGCTTGAGCGTATGGTATACCGAGGAAAATGTCGGCTTGTCCATAATACAACTGACTTCTGTCGTCACCTAAGAAAAAAATAGTTTTACCGTTCTATTCTAAGCCGAAGATTATAGAGATTGCAGAGTCCTACCGTAATCTACAGAGCGGCCTTGTACAACACCATATGATGTTTTAACAGTAACGTAATTCTGTGCAACTACGATTGTACCCGTACATATTAGCAGCAGTGTTATCATGGTAGAGATCTTTCTGAAATATAGGCATGTACTTTTCTTGTTGAGAAATTTTGCACATAAATCATTTCATAGGAACATTGATAGAGCATTTTTCTCAGTGTATAAGTTACAAAAAAACATAAAATGAATAGGATCTACTGCGCACAAGGTGTAATTGCAGAATTGACAACAGAGAAGGAAATTCCAGAATTTAAACCGCAAAGACCAACGATCGCACATTTTGAATTATGACAGAGAGCTCTTAGCTTTTAGCTTTGGATTCGATGGCTATTATGCAAAAATATCACGTGGACAAAAGATCTACCTAGTATTAAATGAATTAATTTGTTCATTTCCCCCTAACCGGTGTAAATCAAGAGCGCGATGCGGCTCAGAGGGATAAAGAGGAAATGAGAGGAATGCGACTTTTGTTCTTTAACTGAAAAGCTTGTTCTTGTTTGAACTTATTTGTTGTCTTTACCTTTTTCTTAGAACAGCATTTGAGAATAAAAGAGCAAGCATTCGGTGCAACCAGACAAATTTTTTTTGAGAAAGTTTTTTCTAGACTTCGACTGCTTAGATCGAGTATAGAAAGTTTATAGGAAGACTTGT